TAGCTCCAGCACCTCCAGCACCTCCAGTACCTTCAGCACCTCCAGCTCCAACAGCACCAGCACCTCCATGTCCGGCAGCTCCAGCACCTCTAGTACCAGCAGCTCGAGGAGCTATAAAACTCCAAGTTCCAGCACCAAAGCAGCCTCGCCGAACGACCCACTCACGAAGCAGCTACGGTGAGGGCGTCTCGAGCTGACTAGGCGGCTGCTGCTGTCCAATGCCAGGACCAGCAGCAGGAGCACCCACGACCCCACCACCACTAGGACTCGCAGCACCCCCCAGAGTCAGCACCCCCAGAATCAGCGCCCCAAGAACCCTCACCCCCAGTCTCAGCACCCCCAGGACCAACACCCCCAAACTCAGCACCCCCAAGACCAGCACCTCCTGCGTCCTCACCCCCAGTGTCACCACCCCCACCAGCACCAGTGTCCACAGCTACAGGCTGCATAGGCAGCGAAAACAGTCGAGGCAGAAAACCAGGAGGGATCTCCAAGCGTGGAGAGCGACGAGTGGTCGCCGTGTCATTAGCAACGGGTTCACCCCCCTCAGCTGGGCCAGAGGTGTCAGAGGAGATCACCAAAGGCTAAACCAAGGGGGGTGGGTGCGGAGATAACTACTGCAACGGGAGCTAGACTACGGGCTAGGCACGTGTGCTCGTGTGATCTCTGCGTTCGTTCACTTAGTCATTTCCTTGTGTTTACGCTTCTTGCTAGTTCACAAGGAGAATTGGCAAGAGTTTCACTAGGAAAACATGACAACAATGATCCAATGAAGTTGGCAATGCAAGACTACATCAGAGCTAGCATTCAGGTCAGCCAACTGCCAGCGCAGCTTGGTCGACCGCGTTCCAGCACGACTTGGTCGACCGCACTCCAGCAAGGCAAGGTCGACGGCGTGCCAACGTCACAGGTTGATGGCGTACCAGCATTGCTCACGCAGGACAGCAGTGCACCCGCTTCGCAGGTGCGCGCAGATGATTGGCGTGCAGAGTCTCGTCACCTGCACAGCGCACACACCACGTCAACCTCGAGCTGACGACTGCCTCTGATCCGCCACGATGACCTCGGGATACCACCACCGAGGTCGGTCTCGCCAACTTTGCCTGGGCGACCGTCGCACTCCTCCGCAGCACTTCGTCACCTAGGTAACCTGGTCGACCGGGCAACCACATCAACCAGCAGCTCCCGTACGTGCCCGTCGACCTCCCAAGTCGACGACCACCTCCATGTCGACCTCACCAGGACGACCACGCCCCTCGGTCGACCTCCTCCAGGTCGACGTCCCTTCTGGTCGACCAGCTCCACGTCGACGAGCACTAAGTCGGCCAGCGCAGTTGTCGGCCGACCACCCACGTCGGCCACCCGAAGTCGGCGTCACGAAGTTGACGTCACCAAGTTGACGTCCTCCGCAGGTCGACTCCTAAGTCGACCTCCCCGAAGTTGGCGCCACCCTGAAGTCGGCGCCCGTGCAGTGGTCCCCGTGCAGGTCGACCTCCTCGTCAACCAGCTCGCCCACTGCTGCAGGTCGGCTGCTCCCCTAACACCCGACCACGATGTCGGCTCCGCCCAAGCGAGGACGGGCCCAACACACAACTCCCGTTGACAGTGGGTCTACCTGAGACACACCTGAGGGAGCAGGACCCTGTGAGAGGAGGGGGTCCACCGGTGGGGGATCTGGTACAAGGAAGTGAGGCGCCAAGGGGACCGGGTGGGACGCGTGCGGGTGCAGCCTGTAGAAACAGACCGACTCGTCAAAGGTGACGTCGTGGGAGGATAGGACTCGCCAAATGTGACGTCCACAAGGAGGCCGGAAGAGAACTCACCGCCCCTGTCAGAGTGCAGACCCAGGACTGGGAGGTCCTGCCGAAACCGCTCGCGTAGCTGGTGACGAGTAGCGCGGGTCTAGGGGATCAAAACACCGCGGACGTCCACCTTGCTGCGCAAGGGGAAGACCGTGGTGTAGCGCGTGTAGTCATCAACAACCAGCAAGAAGTAGCGCTCCTGGTCCGTCCCATGGACGGGGGCCGGGCCCCACACGTCCATGTAGAGAGTCTGCAGAGGAGCAGTGGTCGGAGGAAACAACGAGGAGTGAGGAGCGGCGCACTGCCGCCCCTCGACGCAGGGAAGGCACGGTGGGTCAAGCGAGCACGGGAGGGGGGCAGGGACCTGGGAAGGCCAAAGATAAGGAGATGAGAGTGCATGCTGCTTAGACGCGGCAGAGAGGGGTGGCCGAGGCGGTGGTGCCAGAGGAGAGTCTGGTGGGAGAGCACCCAACACGAGCACAACGCAGCGAACTGACCAAACGCAGACATCTGACTCGGCGTAGCCACCTGACCTGACGCAACCACATGTGCAGACGTAGTGGTCAAGGTGTACAGACTGGACCTAGGCTGCCGAATGAACATAGCAAGGTGACGACCAGTCCAGGAGCACGTACAGATCGCCACACGCTGTCCTCTAGGGGTAAAAATGTCAACCCATACATCTTGAAGGACTGCGTTGCTCACCAAGTTCGTCGAGAACTAGGGGAGGTGGAGACTTGGAAATGAGCTAAAAGGGACTGCCGGACACGGGAGGACAGTGGAGGCTCGTGTGACAACTGGGCCCCCAGAGGGGTCAGCCAGTGAGACTGGGTCCGGTGCAGCGAGCGGTGTGACTGTGATGCAGTCACAAAAAAAGCAACGAGACGCACCAGAGTCAAGTGTGAAGGTGTGCAAGGCCTCAGCTGAGGCAGCAGACCCACTAGCCCCTGTGACAGCAGACGCACTAGCACCTAGAGTGGCAGCAGACTCACTAGCACCTGGAGAAGGGGCAGCGATACCATCAGCGCAAGGCACACACGAGTAACAAGTACCCTCACCACTAATAACATCAACATACAGAGCATAGAGTGCCTTGTTGATCTAAACAAAGTCAAGAGCAAACACATCTACTCCCTTCGCTATCAACTGCAGCCAGTTGGGGACAGCCCGCTCATCACCATAATCGGCCACCCAGGGATCCTCAAGACGGCCGAAGCAGTGATACTCCGTGTGCCCTGTCTTCCTCAGCACCAAGGAGGTCGACAGCAGCAGCAGTAGCAACAGAGGGTATGAGAGGGGAGGGAGCACGCACTTCAAAAAAGGGGGAGCGGGGAGTGCCACGAGAGGCAGCGACAGCGATAGTACTTATCTGAGCCTCAAGAAGGGACTTCTCCAGCGAGGCAAGCGTGAGCTCAGTGGGGTCAAGGGCGAGAAAGTGGTCCCTAACTGCGCGGAGGGAGTCCGAGAGGCGGGTGACAAGAAATTACAAGGTGATAAACAGTGGTGGGGGGGTCTCTTTGAAAAAGGCGAGCTTGAGAGCGGCGCAGTAGCGAGTATCACTAGAGCGAAGGTGGATCATGAGGTCAGCGAAAGTGCGGAAATCTGCGAGCTCAGGAAAGAGGTACGGCAGAATGAGATGGCCTAGGGCAGCAGTAGCTGGGGAGGAGTAACTAGCGACAACGGTGTCATTGAGGTCTTTGCTATCTTCTGATGGCCAAAATGGGCTCTCTCAGCTAGCGGGAGGTGGTTGCGGACAGCAAGGCGGGCAGTAGCGTCACACGTGAGCCACTTCGAATGATCTAAGCGGTCCACTGTAGCCGCTGGGGCGAGGAGGATCCTGACGTATGCTCTGTCAATGAAACTCCATCCTTAAATTCGCCCTGTAGGTACATCTGGAGATCGTCGAGCCAAACGTCAAAGCTAATCGGGCGACCCTCCGCATCAAAGGTAAGCACTGAAATGGTGGCCATAGTAGCAGTAGCAGTAGTAGCAGCAGCAGCAGCAGCAGCAGCAGTAGCAGCAGCATTAGCAGCAGCAGCAGCAGCAGCAGCAGCAGCAGTAAGGCGGCGCGGCTCGGCAGGGCGGCGCGGCTCGCGTAGCAGTAGCAGCGTATTCAGCAGCAGCAGCAGCGCGTGCGGGTAGGGGCGCTCGCGGGCAGGGAGCACGCGCGCAGGCAGAGGGGCTCGCGCGAGTAGCAGCGCGGGCAGGCACCGCGTGCGCGTAGGCAGCACTCGCGGGCAGGCAGCGGGTGCGCGGGCAGGCAGCTCGCGGGGAGGCGGCACACGCGGGCTGGTGGCGCTGGCGGGCAGGCAGCTCGCGCGGGCTGGCAGCGCGCGTACAGGCAGGTAGCGCGCGTGCAGCAGGCAGCGCGCTAAGGTAGGCAGCGCGCGTGGCAGCAGGGCAACGCGCTTAGGCAGGCAGCGCGCGTGGCAGCAGGGCGGCATTGCGACGCTGTTCGGGCAGGGCAGGGCAGTGCGAGGGCGCTTCAGACAGGGTCGAGCGGATCGATTTTGGTGGGCCCTAAAATAAATCTAACAGTGATCCTGCTCTGAAACCATTTCGTGGGGACTATGCAGGAATGAGTTCATTAGAAGGAATGACAAATACAAGTAGTGAAACCCTAGAAGGGTTGTACTCTATGTGAGCTACCTCACTACATCCTACAATCATAGAAATGTTATTTGACAGTCCTCGCTATGAAAGTCCGGTGTCAGGGTAACTGGGTTGAAACACTAATGAAGTCAGGGGGAAAAAAACGCTAACTCGGGTTTCATAAGGGTTTAAAAAAAAAAAACTAACACTTTTTGAGTCAGGGTAAGAATTCTGGGAGGCTGACTGGGTCAGGGTAACCCCAAAAAAAGTGACCCCAGATAGTGCAATCAGGGTAAATACCCTGACATTTTGGGGCCTGCTCACTACTTCCTATCCAATTTGTAATCATAGTTTGACATGGTTCAACACGTAAATGTCATATGAAGCAACTTGTGTCATATACGGTAGATTTGTTTTCGTTGTCAAGACACACACATTTTCTTTATTAATTCTTTAAATTTAGACCCTAGGGTGGTATGGTATATTCAAGGGATTACGTTATATATATCATCCCCGTATTTTCACACAAAGCAATTTCACGATACTGGCGGTGGTTAGCGAACTTCTCAGAAACACTATGGAAATGGGGAACCCATTGTGAAGGGGTCATGAGTTGAACCAGTCGGATAACGAGTCGCCGAGGGAGTCATTGCTTCCCAGGCCAGTTTGAGAAGGGTGTGTACCTGTGGCATGCCCAGTCCGTATGCTTGGGGGGGCATGCCGAACAGCCACTGCTGCATCACTCTCTTTCTGCTCTTCACTACTCTCTCTCAAATCATATCTTGTGTGAATATCTGCTGCTTGGTCTTGTGAGCCAGTCCGCTGCAATGCATTCGAGGAATACTTCACCTGCCTCTGCATGGCTCCTCTTGACCCTCCTCTGCTCTCGTTCGACCTCGCCTTCTGCCTCGCACTGCCAGCGTGCCTGAAGCGAGCGTTACCACCGACAGTAGACGGTGTAACCTTGTGCGCCTTGGCAAGCCACCACTTGGTAACTGCATCCCTCAAGTTTGTTCCATTCACAGTAACAGCAGTCCACTTGGGGCTCGTGAGCGAACAGTGGGCCACAGCCACTGTCACAAAGTTGCTTATCTGCGTCCCTCTCTTTCTCCTCGCAGCATCTGTGCTGCGCAGCACCTTCCATGCAGCATTTAACACCGCCCTCCTCTCTGCTGGCTGACATTCACTCCCTGCCCCGGCCTTTTCCTGCCAAGCCTTCTCTTTCCCAACGGCTCCCCACAACCTCCACTGCTTACTCCAGAGCATTGTCTTGATGTCGCCGTTGGCCTGCTTGACCAGGGAGCGCAAGCACTGAGTGCCGAGGGTGGCACTGGGGCGCAGCTGGTTGCCGATGGTGAGCGCACGGTAGTCCAGCAGCGAGTTCACCACCAGCAGCGGCGCCGACACAAAGCGCAGCGAGCGGTGCGCGAAGAAACATCGCCACTGCTCTTGCAGTGGGTAGGCTGGATGAAGGGAAATAGAGGGAGGGATCGAGGCAGGGAGCAGGCAACGGAAGTGAGTCCAGCTTGAGCAAGGGAAGCTGTGAGTGGGAAGAAGAGGTGCATACGAGAAAGGGAGAGAGAGAGAGAGAGAGAGAGAGAGAGAGAGAGAGAGAGAGAGAGAGAGAGAGAGAGAGAGAGAGAGAGAGAGAGAGAGAGAGCAGAAGACTGTGACATTAACAAAGCTACAATGAACCTGGAGGTGCTGACCTTGTGTGCAGTGCAGGTTGAGTCGCATGGCGTGCAGGGCCGCCATGCTGTGCACCATAGTGCTCATCGTATTCCCATGCCACCGGTCCTCCGCATCTGCCATGCGGGGTGGGCATACATGCATGCAGTCAGAGCACAAGGAAGACGTGCGGGCAGCAGAAACGCGCGTGAGACGCACACAAGTCTTGGAAGGTGATGTACGGGTAACCAGAACAAGGGGCAGGTCCGCGGCGCAGGCGTCATGCGTGAGAGGGCATGCGAGCATCGTGGAGAGCGGGGCACGCACCAACAAAGAAGCCAGCGTCCAGAATGCACTTGACGGTGGCCGACGGGAAGAGGAGCGCCACGCGGTCGCACAGCGTAATCACTGCTTGTCCGCCCGCTGAGCTGCCCGTCAATAAAATGCTGGCTGCCCGAGCCATGCCCCTATTCTGCTTCAGGTCTGCGTAAGCGGGTGACATGGGTATGGAGCAGGGACAAGCGGTGTTCGTGCATGCAATTATATGATGCGTGACAGATGGCATATGAAATGGGTAAGTGAGGTAGAGAGTCGGAGTGAGTGAGGGAGAAAGTGGGTGGCTAAAGCGATGGTGAGGATAGGTGGTGCGTGATTGGGGAGCAAAAAGCCTTGTTCAAGCCTCCTTAGCTGTTGCCTAACGTCAACCGGCCCAACCCCCACCGCTGCTAAACGCCACGCATTGTGCCTGCAGAGTGGTGCGTGCGGAAGAGTGGAAGGTGGTGCGTGCCGAGTGGTGCTGCGTGCCTTGCCTTGCACAGCACCATCCCGCACGCACCACGTTCCACCCCTCCACGGACAATCCCTGCGTGCAAGCAGGCGCTCCCCACATGCACTGCTGCTGCTCGCTTTTGCTTCCGCCGCGTGAGATGCTGCGCGTGCACCTGTCACGGCGTCGCACCCACCATTGAGCACGGCGTGTATGATCTTCCACCCGTCCAGGTACAACCCCGCCGTCCCTGCACTGCCACCGCCGCGCACAGCCCGCCAGCCAGCGCGGCCCGCGAAGCCCCCGCCGTCGCAATAGATGGGGCGCACGAGGTGCCAGTTGTGGAACAGCGGGTTCACTTTCGGGTCCGGGGAGTTGATTCCGCGCGCCGGGGACTGGCGGAGGGTGTGGGGCAGCGCGGGGGGCAGAAGACGATAGGGAATGACTTTCAACGTTCCGTGCTCTGTTATTCCGAATCTCGCCAGTTCCAAGCGCAACGAGTGCACTACGTCAGTACCCCGCAGTCTGTCCGCGTCAATTCCAACGAGCGTGTGCCACCAACCGTCGAAAGGCTCTGCCCCGCCACTCCATCGGTGTGTTATGCCCGCCATCACCGCCAGGTCAACCACCGCAACCACCATTACAGCCGGTCGCCGGCCCACCGACCTATGACTACCCGCTTACCGCGCTGCCCTCGTCCCTGTCGTTGCCGCCCCGCACGATGACGGTGGGGCGCGAACGCGTGCTGCCCTGGTTCGTCTGCGCGCGGTGCATGCACCCCGCCATAGACGTGCACCACCCGCCGCCCGGGAGGTGGATGTGCCACGCCGCGCTGCCCGCCGCATAGCCCGGCCTGTGATAGTACCCCGGGGGGCTGGCCACGCGCGACCCACGGGAGGCGCGAGAAAGAGAAAGGGGAAGCGCGGACAGGAAGAATGGTTGCAAGTGGGGGACAGGGGGATTCAGGGGGTAGAAAGCCGCAAATCGCCCTCAGAAAGCCGCGCGCGTGAAGGTAGGCAGATGGGGGAAGCGAGTGGGATGCACGCACAAAACCATAGGAAGCTGTACCCCTCGTTACTCACTAACCTGTTTCCGCATCTTATCTGCGTGACGCATCTGTGACTCGCTAGCCAACAGAACCAGCGCCGTACCTGCCGTCAAGACACTTGGCGCCGTACGGGTTGCCGGGCAGAAGATACAACCGCGTCACTGTACCACCGCCTTGCTGTTGCTGCTGCTGCGCCGTTAAACCCCGCTGCGAGACCGTTCCTCTCGCCCGGCCTTGGCCCTCCAGGTACCCCTGGCCGCCTACTTGCGCCAGACTGCTGTGTAGCACGATGTGCATCACAAGGCAGCACCCGAAGAGCCCTCGTCGGAGATTCCAGTGACGTCCGTGCACGCATGGAGGGCGCGCGGTGGATAAAAGCGGGCACGCGGACATCACGAGCTGTAAAACAGCGCGGCGCACGGCTTCCATAATGAAAAATGGAGCGAGACTAAGCGTGCCTAGCTAGTACTATGTTCGGTTTGACCAAATGGGTCTTAAATGTTACGTTCCGTCGACATCAGTGCTTTTGTCGCTGCTTCACATCGGGGCGAGACGACAACGAGGACGGATGTCTCAAAACGGGAGATATATGCAGTCGGCTGGACTTCAACCATAAGCGCGTGCCATCGAGCTATTTGTGTGTTGGACCTGTCTAAAGCTGGACAACTTCTGCGGTCACACTTGAACACGTAAGCTGGTTAAAAGAACTGAAGGTAGTAGTATCAGTGTGTTGGAGGTGTTGGAGGTGGGGAGACTGACTGGTTCGTCGGGAAGAGCAGGGAATTTTTTAGAAGTCGTCGCTCGTCTCACCGACCTCCCTCACATCCCAGCCCACGAATCTGCGACGCGACTACGTGAATGGTTGTCATGACGCGCTTCGATTTGTTTGGGGTAGACGTGGAACTTGGTGAAAGCCTTTCGAACATCACAGCCCCCACCACTACGATATTTGGGTTGGATATTGAGCCGTTCGATCGATATGTGTTGTTCGACATCGTACCCGCAAATGAAGCACATCAATGCTCGAAAACACCCATATAGTTTGAAGTGTCATATTAGTCTATAAGATGTACAAAGAGAATTACACAACATAAAAGAAAATGGCATCAAAACCAGCTACCAAAAGGATGTGCGAGAGCAGTCGTTATTCCCCCTGCCTGAACGCAGAACATCCCAGGGAAAGCGTGCTGCTGTGAAGCAAAAAGTTGTACGAGATGGATATCGCCCACATACACCAAAAACATCATCAATTGCCCATTCTCTTGCAGCAGGCAGGAACAAGCTGTGGTCTCACTTGTTGGGTTGGGTACAACAAAGAAGTAATATCTTTTATTGTACTTGTCAACCTGTTGCCTTATCAAGGTTTTTCAATTGCAGCTTAGGCAAATGGCGAATCCCCAAAAGTGGAGTATAGTTTCGACCAATGGGAGCAATCTTTGATCTTTTAAGTGGGAGGGGCGAATTGAACTCCGACCAATAAGGTTGCAGCTCCCTGCTCAAGATGAAAATTCGAGTTTGGGTGGGTACTGTCAGATTTATATGACATAGTTGCTGTAGGCTATAGTGGGGTAGCACATATGGGGTACAGGGTTTCTAGGGTTGTATTTGTACCCAATCTTTCCTTAGTCATTTCATTCCTGTTTTCTTTACTTCACATGGTATAGAGCGGGTCCTACCTTAGGACCGTTTTTTTTAGGGCCCACCGAAGCGCGCCTTTTTTAGCGACCCCCTCGGGTCGCCTTTTCCCTCGCGGCCCCGCTGTCCCTCAGACGCGGCCCCGCCACCTCTCCTGTTCGCGGCCCCGCCGCCTGTTTGACGCGGCCCCGCCGCCTACCCTGACGCGGCTCCGCCGCCTCCCCTGACGCGGCCCCGCCGCCTCCCCTGACGCGGCTCCGCCGCCTCCCCTGGCGCGGCCCCGCCGCCTGTTTGACGCGGCCCCGCCGCCTCCCCTGACGCGGCCCTGCCGCCTCCCCTGACGCGGCTCCCCCGCCTCCCCTGACGCGGCACCGCCGCCTCCCCTGACGCGGCTCCGCCGCCTCCCCTGACGCGGCCCTGCCGCCTCCCCTAACGCGGCTCCGCCGCCTCTCCTGCCGGCCCGCCACTGCACCTGCCGGCCCGCCGCTGCACCCAGCGGCCCGCCGCCTCTGACGGCCTCGCCGCTGCACCTGCCGGCCTCGCTGCTGCACCTGCCGGCCCGCCACTGCACCCTACGGCCCGCCACTGCACCCTACGGCCCGCCGCCTGCACCTGCCGGCCCGCCGCTGCACCTGCCGGCCCGCCACTGCACCTGCCGGCCCGCCGCTGCACCTGCCGGCCCGCCACTGCACCGGTCAACCCGCCGCTGCACCTGACGGCCCCGCCCCTGCATCTCCTGGCCGAGCCGCCTTAGCAGCCGAACCGCCCGTGAGCCAAGCCGCCCGACGCCGAGCCGCCCGGGAGCCGAGCCGCCCTGCACCCGAGCCGCCCAGCCGCCGAGCCGCCCGGGAGCCGAGCCGCCCTGCGCCCGAGCCGCCCAGCAGCCGAGCCGCCGAGCACCCGAGCCGCCAGGTCGCTGAGCCGCCTTTCTGCATACCTACACGACCTGCACTGCCTGGTGAGCACAGTCCCACTGACACTGCGAGCTCTTTCCCTACTGCTTGCACTGCGTCGCTGTCGTCGCCATGGCTACCCCTAGTGTCCTAGCTTTTGACGCTGAGGGTCGCGCCATTGATTTTGAGGTCTGGTTAGACGACCTGCAGCTGTTCTTACAGTGCGACAGGGCTGACGACCTTTCTCTCTTTGATCTCACCTCTGGCGCCTCTCCTGCTCCTGCTGCTGATGCTGATCCCGCTGTCCGCTCTAAGTGGGCCACCCGCGATGCTGCTGCACGTCTTGCTGTGCGTCGCCACCTCCCTACCTCTGAGCGTGCGCACTTCAGTCAGTACAAGAGTGCTCAGACCTTGTACAACGCTGTAGTTGCGCGCTACTCCTCCCCTGCCACTGCTGCACTGAGCCGTCTCATGCTTCCCTACCTCTTTCCTGACCTCTCTGCCTTTCCCACTGTCGCTGACCTCATTACGCACCTCCGCACTAGTGACACTCGCTACCGCGCCGCCCTTCCTGCTGAGTTCTGCGCTAAGAACCCCCCCCCCCATGTACATCGCTCTCTCCTACGTAGTCGCGCGCCTCCCTGACTCCCTTCGAGTCGTCAGGGACCACTTTCTCGCAGTCTGTCCCACCACCCTCACCGTCGACCTCCTCGAGAAGGCCCTCCTCGCAGCGGAGAAGAGCATCGTCGCTGTAGGTGCTTCTCGTGGTGACCCTCGCACCCCCATCTTTGAGGGGTGCTCTCCTTCCCCCTTGCTGCCCTCTGTTGCCTCTGCTGCTGCTGCCGACCTGCTTGGTCTTGAGTCGGTCGGCGCGGCGTCTGCCCCTAGTGGGAGACGTCACTCCAGCAAGGGCAAGGGGAGCAAGGGCGCGGGTGGAGCTGGAGGGGGCGGTGGCGGTGGCGGCGGTGGCGGCGGAGGGAGTGGGAGTGGCGGCGGGACTAGTGGCGGGGGTGGTGGTGGTGGTGGCAGCAGCGGCGGAGACGGTGGTGGTGGTGCCAGCGGTGGTGGTGGAGGCAGCGGCGGAGGTGGAGGCGGCGGAGGTGGAAGCGGTGGAGGCGGCAGTGGAGGAGGCAGTGGTGGTGAAGGGGGTGGAGCTGGTCGGGGTGGTACCCAGCAGCGTAGCGGCGGTGGTGGTGGCCAGCGCTCGCAGCGACAGCAGCAGCAGCGCTCTCAGGACATCCCTTCGCCTCAGCAGCTTCGTGAGTGGTACGCTGGGCGTCAGAGGGGTGGGGGTACTGGTCCCTGCACCTACGTTCTTCGTTCCGGCGACCGCGCGGGTGAGCAGTGTGGGGGTGCCCACGCCACCCAGCGCTGCTTTGGCCGCCTGACGGACGCCTGGCGTCAGCAGTTCCCTGGGGCTAGTGAGATCCCTCGCTGGGATGAGCTTCTCAGGGCTGGTGTAGCGATCTTTGATCTTGATTTTGATGCTATCCTTACTGCTATGTATGTTGTGGATTATAGTGAGGAGAATGAGGGTTACCGCTGTTTCCAGCCCGACCCGGGCATTGGTACTGCTGCGCTAGGTGCTTGTGAGGCTGCTGCTCTAGGTGCCAGTGCGTCTGCGCTCTCAGGTGCTGGTGAGACTGCGCTCTCAGGTACTGAGTCGTCCTCGTCCTCCCTCACTTTCACACTTGACTCCGGAGCTTCTCGCTCCTTCTTTCGAGACCGCACTACCCTTACGCCGCTCGGCCGGCCGGTTGCAGTCTCCCTTGCTGACCCCTCTGGTGGTCCTGACCTGTCTCACTTCTCCACTGTCCTCCCGTGTCCGGCTGCCCCTTCGGGCATCCTGTCGGGTCTGTACCTTCCCTCGTTCTCTACAAACTTGGTGAGTGGAGCGGACCTGCAGGATGTGGGTTTTCACCAGTTCACTCCTGCGAGTCAGCGGGTGACCCACTGCACGGAGGCACGCACAGGCCGACACCTGGCCACGTTCTCGCGTCGGCCGGGGTCGAGTCTCTACACCCTGACCGTTGAGTCTCCTCCTGTCCCTGCGTCTGGTCAGGTTGCTGCGTCGGGTCAGGTACTTGCTGCTGCGTCCCTGTCAGGTCCTGAGTCTGCCCCCTGTTCTAGTCGCCTCCTGTCTCACGAGACTCTCCTGTGGCACCACCGTCTTGGCCACCCCTCCTTGCCCCGTCTTCGGAGCATGGCTTCCCGTGTCCTTGTCTCTGGTCTTCCCCAGTCTCTCCCTCCTCTCCCCTCCGAGCCAGAACCTTCCAGTGTCCCCTGTGTCGAGGGTCGCCTCCGGGCTACTCCTCACTCCTCCCACTTCCCCCCGACAGAGGCTCCCCTGCAGACGCTTCACATGGATGTGTGGGGCCCAGCCCCAGTCCGTGGGCAGGGTTACGAGCGCTACTTCCTGTTGGTGGTTGACGACTACTCGCGTTACACCACAGTCCTCCCCTTGCGTAGCAGGGGTGCGGTCACTGAGGTGCTGATCGACTGGATCCGCGAGGCTCGTCTCCAGCTCAGGAAGAGCTTCGGCTCGGACTTTCCTGTTCTGCGTCTGCACTCTGACAGAGGCGGAGAGTTCTCTTCTCGCCTTCTGCGAGACTACTGTCGTGCACGGGGGATCCGCCAGACCTTCACGCTTCCGGACTCACCACAGCAAAATGGGATTGCTGAGCGCCGCATTCGCATGGTCATGGATGTCGCTCGTACGTCCATGATGCATGCGGCTGCCCCCCATTTTCTGTGGCTGTTTGCGGTGAGGTACGCGGCGCATCAGCTCAACCTTCACCCCCGGGTCTCTCGGCCTGCGATGTCCCCAGCCTTGCTGTGGACGGGGAAGGTTGGCGATGCGTCCGT